CCGGTTCCGACGGTTCAGACCGGATTCCGGCCGGTTCAGTCCGACTCAGACCCGGTCCCGGCCGGTTCAGACCGGTTCACTCCGGTTCGGTCAATTCGTTGACCAATTTGGTCAACAGTTGACCGGTTTAGGTCAAATCGGACCGGTTTAGGTCAAATCGGACCGGTTCAGGTCCGGTTTGGGGTCAATTGGACCGGTTTAGACCGGTTCAGGTCAATCTAGGTCCGGTTTAGGTCAATTGAGTCCGGTTTAGGGCAATTCAGACTAGTTTAGGCTGGTTTAAGTCTCAGTTAGGGTCTGATTTGTCTGGGAAGGGCTAGAATTGTTCGGTTCAGACCAATAGGGTCTGATTGGAGGGGAATTAAGGCCGGTTTAGACTGGTTTAAGTCTAAGGTTAGGGTCTGTTCGTCCAATTAGGCTAGAATTAGACCGTATAGGTCAATTGGGTCCAGTATTTGATAAGATCAGATTGGTTTTAGGCTGGTAGAGGTCTGTTTAGGATCTGATTTATCTGATTAGGGCTTGTATTGGTCGGGTTAGGATCTGATTTTGTGGTTAGGACTAGATTGGGTCAGTTTTAGGGTTCGGAGTGTATAATTAGGACTAGAACTAACTGGTTTAGGGTTAGGATGGTCCAAATTAGGTCTGATGGTGTTTGGTTTAGGGCATAATGGACTGGTTTAGGGTAGATTAGGGTCTGTAGTGATCGGTTTACCTGTTAGGTCGGTCTAGTATCCAAATTTGGCTTGGTTTAGCGAAATATACTAAGGATAGACCTGTTTTAGATCTCGGTTTAGCTAATGTAGGTCATAGATTCCTGTTTCTGTTCAGTATAGGTCTGAATGATGACGTTTAGCTGGGTAAGAGGTCTGGGTAGACTAAAATAGGCTGGTATAGGTCTGAAATTGACTGGTTTAGGTCGGTATAGATCTGTAAGGGCTGTTTTGGGTCTTGGTTAGGTCTGGTTTTAGCCAAATTTGAGTTAGTCTAGCTTAGTCTAGGTCTGATCAGTAGGAAATTAAGTCAAAATAGGCTTGATTAGGTCTGATTAGAGGTTAAAATGTCTATAGAGACATTGTTTAGGTCTAATCAGATTAGTATCTGATTGTAGATTTAGGTATTATCTAGTTTAGGACTAGATAGGACTCCTAAGTGCCAGGTTTGAGTCATAGAGTCCGGTACATTGACCGGTTAGGTCTGATTAGTTGGGATTTGACTAAAACGGGTTGGTTTAGGGGTTGGTTATGTCTAGGATCATTAGGTACAGGTCTGTAGGGGTCAGTTTAGATCAGGGCAGGTCTGTAGGAGTTGGTTTTAGGCGTTTATAGGGTCTGATCAGATTAGAATTAGGTCAATTAGGCTTAGTTCAGGTCTGATTAGGGTGCTAAAAGTCTAATCAGGGGTTGGTAAGTCAATAGGGGTTGGCTTAGGTTTGATGATTAGGACTTTTAGGTGATTAACTAGGACTTAGGATCATCTAATCAGGGGTTGGTCGACTAGGGTTGGCATAGGTCTGATTAGGGTAGTGTGATGGTCTAGTCGGGACTTTTGGTTGTCTAACTAGGGCTGTTAGGATCTAGGTAGCACTTGGGTAGGTCTGATTAGGACTTTGTGAGGGGCCGGGTAGACTCGGGATCGTAGGACTGGTTAGGACTGTGTTGGGGACCATGTAGACTCGGTGTTATAGGTCTGATTAGACGTAATCAGGTCCGGTTAGCCTTAAGTTAGGTCTGGTTAGACGTAATCAGGTCTTAAGGTAGGCTGTGTTTAGAGTCTAATAGGTCGGTTAGGCAAAATTATGCCTAGGGTAAGTCCAATCAGGTTTGTGCGAAAGTCTAGGAGGTCGGTTAGGTAGAAATATACC